TCATTCTCAGATCTTGGAATCCATTCAGTCTCTAGCTTAATTTTATTCTGCAAACGAGTAGAATAAATAGATATTGATAAACTTTGCAATTCTTGATTCATACTGCCCTCGTCAACGATCTTGACTACATTTGGATTATCAGTGTATAGCTAAACTACCCTATCGTTTAACATTTCTTTGAGACTCTCTACAGTAATTTGTACTGCTTTAAGTTCTCTCCATGTGGAACTGAGACACTTCTGTTCAGGTGTTCACATATAATGAACCAACAAATTATTTGTCTTAACAGAATAACCAGCTCCTGCAATACCACTAGCATCTGTATATTAAATCTGCTCTGGACGTTTGTCACTTTCAAAATAACACACTCTGGCTAAAGATCTACAATTTTGTAACCAAAAGTTAATTTCATGATTGATGTTATCATTAAATAATATTGTTTGATCCCATGAAACACATTCTGCAATGGCTATATGTAAATATCTAGACATGATGTTACATATGTTACCAAGGCTACAAGAAAATGAAATGATTTTCCCTGTAATATTAGCCGACTGTCAAGCTGTAACATTACTTTTGTTTTTAATAATGAACTCAATATCATTCTGAAATTTCAAGAGTTTATCTTCAGGTACTGATAGAGTTCCCAATTTAGTATCCCATAAAAATCCTAACCACTTAATGACTTGTTTGGGTTGAAAATCACTCTTTTCTTTATTGATAACAAAACCTGCATCAATTAAATCTTTTTTAGCTTCGCAAGAAATTTTTGCACAAGTGTGATAATCATCAGCAATACCCCATCCATCATCTAGATAAACGATTGAATTAAAACCTTAATTTGCTTCTCCAGAATTTCACTAAAGTCTTTGTAAATAAATACGGGGCACTCGACAAACCAAAAGGTAAACATTTAAAAATGAAAAACCTATTTTGATCTCCAAATTTCCATGTGAAACCAAGATATTTTTGATGCGAATCATGTATTTCTACATGGTGGTACCCTGACTTTAAATCAAATTTGTACATAAATCCATTTTTTACCACCAATTGTAATGGATTAGCAACACCTTCGATTTTAATTTTTTTTCTTTTAAATAAATTGATTAACATGCCTGAGGTCTAATATCAATCTACATTTCCCAGCAGAATTAACCGACACAGATAAAGGGTTTACCAAATAAGGTTTAGTCATCTGTTCCTCTATTATTCCTGAAACTAAGAGCTGCACTCAACAAATTGTCCATGCTGTAATGCAGATTTGTTATTAGTGAGACATGCTGTTGGAGGCATCATTAAAAATGGAATAAAATAACCATATTCTATGACATTTTTAAAAAAATCTGAGGCACCTATATGATATTTCCAAAATTTTGCATGTTTCTTTAAATTGCCTTTAACACTATTTGAACTAAAATTTTCAAATTCACATACTGTAGATCACTTTATTTTCGCGACACCTTATTTTCGCGAGATAGTCAGTAACTCTTGATTAGCGAGACAAAATTTTCACGAATTGTGGTTATTGGAGTTTTATGAAGAGACTTACTTTTACATTTTACGGCTTACTTTTACATTTTAGTGATAGGAGTTTGTCTCTGTTTGAATTGTAAAAGTCAGTCGTCGATTGTAAAAGTAAGTCTCTTCATAAAACTCCATTGCTCTATATAATCTTAAGGAATACTATTATACGCGAGAATTAAATTTTCGCGAGCACACTATCTCGCGTAATTACGCGAAAATAAAGTTATCGCGAATAAAACGTGATTTACAGTACATTGTCATTCAAAGAACAAGCGCTCACCAAGTCAATATATTATTTGCGGGCTGTTGTTGTTGTTGCGGTTGTAGTGGAAGTTCAACTTCCTCTCTCTGGACATTTGTTGGTCCAATGTCCAAATTTGTTACAGTAGAAATAGATGTTGCTGGCTGCTGCTCCGTTGTTACTTGTGACAGTTGAAGTTGCCTTTCTGTACCCTTGTTGAGGATGTGTGAAGGGCTGATAGAGGGATTGTCTTCCGTACTCTGTTCTGGGGAAACCCTGTCCAGAATCCTGCCCATATGAACGAAAAAACTGTCCCGGAAATGACTGCACTTCCTGTCCAGAATAAGCACGTGTTGTTCTGTCGTAAGGCTTGTTGTTGTTGCTTCTTTTCTTTGCTCTGAAAATAGCTTGTCTAAGCTTAGTAGCATCGTCAGTGTCGTCAGTAATAGGATCATCTTCATACTCTTGTACAACGTCCCAACCATTTTTATCCGTTATGCGAACAATTTTGTTCCTTTTATTCAAATGAGTTATGGTAGAATTCAAAATTTCTTTAGCCGCTTCTAATCTGTTATTTTCCAACAGGTTTAATACTTTTCTAATGTCAATTTCTTGTTTATTTTGTGTCAAGCCAGGTCGTCCACTTTGGCCAATTTGGGGCGCAGCATGTATAACCCGCTCCTCGTGACTAGAATTTGACTCATTCATTACAGGTAAAGCGTGTTCGAAATCTGGTTGATTATTGCTCGTCGATGACCGCTTTACGCCTGACCAACTTCTTATATACTATGACCAAACAACTACCCTTCAATGTGCTTACGCATATAAATTAATCCCCACATACAACTAATAGAAATTGATTAGAGTTCTTTTGCCTTTTTTTCTTATATGTGGACTAATCTTTTACGTAAATGGAATAAAAAAGAATTTATTATTGAGAAATACTGTTAATATTGTTCAGTTAAAAAAGTCGACGACCGACGATGTTTAATGAAGTACTTTTGAGATTTTTCAAATTTTCTTTATGACAAGTACCCTTAAAATGACTGAAAATATGTAGTCGCAGTATGTAATTACCATTCCATGTCTCACAGGCTGGCTGCACTGCATTTAATAATAAAAAACATGCCATGTGCTTTTTACTGATTGATAAGCGAGTGCTAATTTATCATTTTGAAAATCTTGTGACAAAGACTTTTCCCTCATAAGTTCTACCTTAAGGCATAAGGTAAATGACATTTACACAATATTTTTTCAGTATATCATGATATATTTATTTCATTCAGGATAAATCAAATATCATATTGAAGTTGTCAAAGTTATTGAATTAGCTACTGTTTTGCATATATACAAAAAGCGAAAATATTACCAGCAACTACATGTACTAACTAACTTGCTGCAGTTATGCAACATTTAGCAATTAAGACTAAACTTATTTGTCAACTTGTATCATTTATTGTGCCCCGCTTGAAAAGTGGGGGGGGGGGGGTATTAATTTGGGTCTGTCCGTCCGTCATTCTGTCTGTCTGTAAACTTTCGTTTTTACACGATATCTCGAAAACCCTTTGAGCTTTTGCGATGAAATTTAGCATAGCAAATCCCTATGGACTAAAGAAGAACCCTATTGATTTTGAGGTCAAAAGGTCAAAGGTCATAAATTCGCAAATTCTGTTCTAACACTTTCGTTTCCGCACGATATCTTAAGACCCTTTGAGCTTTTGCAGTGAAATTCTACATAACTCCCTGTGGCTTAAGAAAGACCCCTATTGATTTTGAGTTCAAAAGGTCAAAGTTCAAGGTCATAAATGTATACATTCTGTTTGTGTGTAACACTATCGTTTTCGGGCGATATTTCAAGAGGATTTTAAGCTTTTGCAATGTAATTTTATACCAAAAGTCCCTATGACCTCTCTCACCACTCTCAAAGTGTCCCGCCCTGTTTGTTTTTTTAGTATTTATTGTATTACATGTCGCTATTTTTAGCACAGGGGCATGAAGGAGAGTTATTACGTATAAAACAGGTTCTCGGCGGACTTTATATTCTTATTACATCTATTAAAACTGTTTATTAAAGGTTAAATTAGACATCATGCATTGTGTAAAATTTTGACAATATTGAGCGTGTATATATACATGTTTGTGACTTCATGTTTGCATATAATTTTTGATAAATTATAGGAGTTCCGTGGTGTAGTGGTATGTCTCTCGCTTCACAATTGAGAGGACCCGGGTTCGATTCCAGGACGATCCATTTTTCTTTTTTCTCCGAAATACTTTTTTACTAAATGATAGTATTTAGCATGTGAAATAAAAAAAATCATGAGGTCTAGCTTGTTCAAACTCATAAAATCATCATTATACAGTGTGATAAATATTCCTTAAAAAAAGAATCTTCTTTACACATAATAAAGAATAAGCAATCAAATCTTTATATCCATATTGATATATTTTATTTGCTTCAGTATACATGTATACATTTAATAATTCCACAAATTTAGTCAGGGAGATCCGACCCCCCCCCCCCCAAACTGCGCATGGTTTACTTTTTCCCTAAGCGGGGGACACAAATTCTGTGAAATTAGCTTGTTTTCTTTGCTTTTTGTTACCAATTTTTAATCGATTCGGTTTTAAACGCAAATTTCTTTGCTCGAGTTCAGTTAGGTATATTATGCAAATTTAGCCCTTGTTATATTATCTTAGATCAACGAAATAAATTCATTTAAAACAAAAATTAAAGTTTTCGTCTCTCAATAACATATGGTACGGATACTAAACATCGAAACAAAATATGCTGTTTTTTGCATTGTGTATCTTTTATACGTTAATCATAATTTAGGGAATGTTTAACATTAAAATGCTAAAATTGATTATGGTTTTTGTGTAAATTTATGCTTAATATATTAATCATCTGGGTACAATCCACTAATTGTATCCCCATAGGCGACAATGTTAACGTTTCTTAATTCTCATAGCGACGTACCTAATTTTCGTTCAGCAGTGATTGACCCCTCAAATCAAAGCACATCAAGTTGTCTTTCCTTAATGGTTAAAATCTCGAGTTTTATAAAGTCCGCGTCTAGCCGAGCTTTTCAAGTTTATAAATAGGAAGTCCAGGTCTATCCGCATTAATATACTTGGACAAGTGTTGTCATATGAACCACTAACAAATCTCGTTACAATATATGAAAATAATCTATTACAATAATGCAACTCATTTTATATATTTACCTTGCAG